CCCCAAAACCCCAAAACCCCAAAACCCCAAAACCCCGTGTAGTACTGATTTTGTTGAACATTTTCTTTTTATTGTTGGATATCAATTTTGAGTTTTTTTATCTCCAAACCTTATTTTTCATCTTACTTTTCCTTGGCTGTCCTAATTTCTTTTTCTTGTTTGCTTGGCCTATATTTTGTAAACCTTCTTTAATAACTTAAATCTTTATATCCTGAACCAAATTTCAATTAAGCCTACCTAATTTCTTTTTATTCTGACTCTTTCCAATCGATTTACTCTTCTTTACCATACCTAAAAGCTCTAAGTCTGACTTACTTTTTACTATTGGTTTCCTATAAGCATGGTTAAATTACAAATAAGGTCAAGTACTTACTTCTTCTTTAACCCAGTGCTCTTTTTCCTTTTTATCATCTTTCTCTTAGGCTTTGCTTCTGCCCTTGCTAAAACTTCTTGCTCAACACGAGCCTGATCCATTGAATTTTCCCTTAAGATATCTAAGTCTTTGTTCAGATTCACAGGGTGGACTTGTGCATCAAAACGAAGAGGAACTTCATCTTGGAACTCATGATAGTGCCTATTCATTCTCTTATCCAACCAGCCAAAGGAACTGATTGCGCAGATTAAGAGTATTATTGCCAATTCAATGATTAGTCAGATGATGGCTAATGTAAAACCGAAATTTGTCAGGCGAGCCCAAACTCACAATATTGCTATAACTGATAAAGGAAATATTCAAGTAAATGCTGTACAGAAGTAATGCTTTCTTTTGTAGCTATCTGCAACCAACGATAACAAGGAGTTAAAGGTTATCAAGAAGAATATTGATAGGATTATGAGCAATGTGTAGTAAGCAACTGATAACTCTATAGATCTCAATCCTTCAAATCTGTAGTATAGATGGCTATTTACACCGAAGACTAGGAAGAAGATCCATGAAACATGTGTAATGAAATATCCGCCAGGGCAAATACTACCTTCAAAATGTTGACCATGGTTCTGAGTCTTTCCTTGACAAAGCCATCAAAATTCTGTCTTTCACAAGGATCAATTCATTACTGAGCATCCAAAGTCTTTATAGATAGTGACGCTGCAGCCTGGGCATGGTTTCCCAAATAAGACTTCCCAGAAATAACTAAGAACTTGCTTATCCCCGCCTGGCTTCAGTAAGGAAAGTATGCCTCCTGTTGAGATCCCTGGCTTGTGAATAGGGTCCACCCATTCATAATTGCATTTCTCTCAGATTAGTGAGTTAGTGCATTTCTGGAAAGAAATTATTCCAGCGTACCCTCAGCCATCATTCGGTCATTTTCTTAAATCCTCTTTATTTGAGATATAGAAGAACATGAACTGATCGTTAATTTCAGCAAGATAAGCTGATGATTTAGATACCCCAAGACTTGAATTCATTATCACGCTTGTGATTTCCTCAGAAGTCAGAGTATGGTTTCACGTAGAATCAGGGCATTTTCAGGTGTAATTTCTCTCATTTACAGTGTTAAAATAGATGTTAGCCTTTATCCAATTAACTAGACATTCAAGGCAAGTATCAAAGCCTCATTCAAGCTGAGTCTGGACTGGGTTAACATATCATATAATTCATAAATCTAAAGGTTAGAATAAGCCTGGAGGACCCCACAAAAGGTGTTATTTGATGAAGTACCTAACCCACTTAAATTTAAGCATTAAGTAGCTGTATTATGAATTTAGGTAGCTTAAGAATCGAGGGAGAATATTTTCAACTCAAATTATCCTATGCTTACTAGCTTCAAGATCAATCTTAGAAAGCCTGTGTTCGCTTTGCTTGCTATCTTCTTCCATTTTTTATTCAAAAATTGAAATATATTTTGGGGTTTTGGGGTTTTGGGGTTTTGGGG